GGAGAGGTTATCTTCGGATCCACACTTTAAGGCCTCAGTGAGTCGTGGGGATGTGGGCAGTGGCGTCTGGCGACTTTCGGCTGAGGTCTACTTGAATCAGGACATATCCGGACTACATTCACCCTGAAACTACCTCCCCTGCCGCCAACTGCTCACATGAAGAAACATTCTTGGCTTTCACAGCCTCCCGGCCTCGTGGCAAACGGCAATCGCGGCCTGCAGCATCCAAGCAAAGGCAGATTATGTGCTAAGGACTGCCGATGATTCTACTGCATTCTGAGTAAGAAGAATAGATGTTGAGCTAAGAGAGAGCATCAAAGGTGCGTGCTTACAGCTCTACTCAAATATGAATATAAATATGAATATATATATATACACATATGTATAGATAGATAGATAAACCTGCACACATACTGAAATATTTATTGAATAAGGTGTGTATTGTGGAAAACTTTAACCAATCACAATCCCAGCCTGCGTGGGGTCCTCAGTGACCTTCATCCTCTCGGCCACGAGTTTCACAACGTCCTTGTTTGATAGTCGGCCTGCCGGGCAACTCTCACTGCAAACACGAAGAAAGATAGTGATCCTTTCGGTGGACCACCCACCCGGAAACAGTGGTATATTAGGAATATACGAGGGCCCTAATGTAATCACCAGTATCCCTTAGAATTAGTACGTACTTCTGGGGTCCACCTAAGGGATCCCAGCCTTCAACTATGCCGTCACAAATCAGAATGACGCTGTCGGTGGAGGCGTGATGGGCTTGAATATCAGCCCAAATAGCCCCCTTTTTAAAGGGACTGTAGTCTTCAGAAGCCTTCTTTTGGGTTTCCATGTTAGTTTCTGGGAGTGTATCCAGCCTGGAGCTGTGGAGCGCAAGTAACGGGATGATCCCTTTGATCTGGGCCTGTCATCAGGCACGGTTTAGGGTTTAGGGTTCAAAGATCCCATGACCCTGGCGACTCCATCCACCTTGGCTTTCATTCTCCATGTAAGCGGCCATTCTGGCAAGAATCCACCACAACGAGAACAATAATATCAGTAAGGTTTGCATAGCAGTGATGTCACTTATCTTGTCGATGATAACAGTAGCAGTAAGGAGGTCTCAGTGAATTATGGCAAGAATCCACCACAACATCAATAACATCTATCAATATGCTTTGCATCATCGTAGTAGTCGTAGTAGTAGCAGCAGTAATAGTGGTAGAAGGAAGAAGACTTTCTGCACGTAGCCGCCGGTGCGCTCGATCCGGGCTCTCTCGTAGGGAAGGTCGGGCTTGTGGTCCTCGCAAGTGCAGTTGTTAAATTAGGGTTTAAGGTTTAGGGTCTAGGGGTTTAGGGTTTATCCTTTCAGGGTATAGGATTTAAGGCTATGCAAGCCCAACAAGAGCGCGAGCCCTCCCTGCAGGAACTTTTCACTTACCAGTTGTCAGTCGGGAATAAGTGAATATAATCCCCTATATCATCATGCCTTCTATAAAATGTCCGCACATTCTCTACTAACCTGCCCGCAAGTTCACCAAAATTTGCACGAGGCTTCACACAGGACATGGGGTCCGTAGTGCGGCCGTAGTTTGTTCCAGGTCCCTGGAATATCGAACCATTGGCATGCCCCAAAAGAACGCGGTTGTCGCCGACGTTTCCAACGGACAACGGGGGGTGGGGGGGGAGAAGATGTGCTGAGCACCTGTTGTTTTATGCGACTGTCTACAAACGCT